CAAGACCAAAAGGGACTTTTGGTGTCGCCATCCGTGTTCACAGCATAGCAGGTCTGTATGCTGCTCCAGGTGCACAAGATCACACTACCACCGCTGGCTCTGGAATATGGATCTGTGGGCACACTTATTACTAGAAGAGCTAGTAACAACCACGTCGTTTCCTCACAACATACTGAAACCTGCTCTCAGTACAGTCTATCAAAAGCTGTTAGTTTTTACAAGGCATTAAAAACAAAGCCTGGTTTCCCACCTCGTCATATCAAAAAGAATTTTTTCCCCCAACTCAGGCACATCTTTATTTGTGCCTAATGCAGGTATTACCATCCGTCAGCCCTTTCACACTGTCTGTCTCTGCTGAAAACTGTCCATAATTAGAAGAGTCCTTGAAAATTATCTTTGTACTACAACGGGTGAAGACATAAAGAAGGAACAGAAAAAAGGCACATCCGCTGAGATGCCAGTAATTTTCTACTCTTGTTGTTCCACTTCGCCACTGTAAAATTTCAAACGCTAGCCTAGCTGAGCCTGGGAACGGTGTAACTGTTCAACAACAGTATGGCAAAACCTAATTATTTCAGGAAGCTTTAGGGATCCATGGTCTTCCTGAGAGTATGTGAGGCACGTCCCTCTGTGCGTGGAGCTCTGCACCTGGAGAGCCCACAGCTGAGCACCGCTGCCTGCGTAACAATTCCCAGCTGTTGTCACAACACGACTAGAGAAAAAGCAGTGGCAATTTATGGCCCTTTCCTCTGCGTCTTAGAAACTGTCCTGTGTAGCTTTGCCACCACACTCCTCTCTTGGTCTGTAACCCCATCCAGCAACGCTCTCAAGCCAAGCTCGAGCTCGTCTGGTATTAGATAACCAAATACCCAGACTGTATTCCCAAAGGAGACCTCGGCACCAAAACGCCTTCTGTGCACAGACTTGTGCATCTTGTATTTCTAATGAGATCAGCATTTGTCTTGGGTTTAACACACACATACAGTGTGGCAGCTATTCAAACCCACTGCTCTAGAGTGCTAGCAAATGCTGACTGTGTGATATGACACAGTTAAATTGCCAATTATGATGATTCTACAGTCACCTTTGTTGTATAACCTTCAGGTAGCAAAATTCATTCATTCATTAGGTAATATGACAAAACAAGCATCACCAACAAATATATAGATGAAACAAAAGAAGCGGAAAAGAACAAAAGGTTAGCACTTGCGTTAAATGTTGTAAATATGGTTAAATCTTGCACCCTCTTCAAAAAACAATATTAACAGGCATCCAAGATGTTCAGTTTTCAAAACACAGTCCCAATGTCAAAGAGCTAATCGCACAACTTCAGAGCAAAGATGAACTCCTCTATCAGTGAGCTCCAGTTCAAATTTGCATTTTAACATTTTTTTTAAAAACAGAACACCAGCTACTCCCCTTTCCATCGCACATTATGTGAAACCAGTGATAACTCCACCAGTTCCCCCCGCCTTTGGGCATCAAACACGTTAGCAAGTAGGAAGAACTATAGGGTCTCACTGTCAATACCTGCTTTCTAAATCCAAAGGATCTTCAACAGCCATGCAAAGGATGCCGGGATATGCCCATGGGTTCAGCTAATATTGTGATATTTTCATTTGACGGCTGGCCAGAAGGTACTGTTCATCATATAACAGTCAAAAGTAACCAGCACTTTATTGTTTTACATTAAGTATTAATATGCTCCAGCCAATAAAGCATGTTACTGGTATATAATTGAGTCACTCTAAATTGATTATGTTGGGTACAGCGAGTATACAAATACACAACTAAACACAATCCTTTTGGGGGAAACTTGTTATCCAAACACATTCCAAAATCCACATCTGCCCCAAAAGAATAATCCCTCGCAGTATTGAGAGGGGACAATGATTATCACTGTTTTGCCATCTGGAATCAGAGCTGGGAACATGGGTCACAAAGGGATGCCCCATTTAAAATACACATCCCAAACTTGCTGAAACTCCCGAACTCCAAACACTGCCATCCGCCCATGCACAAATGCTGCCCAAGGACACACATTTCTGAAGGAAACCCTTCTGCAATGTGTTTTCAAACAGCGTTTACATTTACAGACCTTCACTTCACTTCATTTACTCACTTCAGCACCACAAGCTTCAAAAGCAAAGTGCACGTTGTGACATTCCTGGAAGAGCAACAATGCGATGATTTAAAACAATGAGGAGAGAAGGCTTCGGAGTGCAATGCAGTCACCAGGCCTTACAAACCAATGTGAATTCTGCTAACCTAGGTTACGATTCATCTTCAGGGGCTCTTCTGTAAAATCACTCTTCTCCTTTGGAATCAGCCTAGATGATCAAGAAGAAAAGCTTTGAAAATGCCCCCTTTCTTTTTCCTGTTCCCACTTATCTGAATAGCAGGGGGAGGAAAACGTGGGGATTTTTCTGCTCAACTCACACTGGTTTTATTAAGGAAACAGTTTTAAAGACAAAAATACCCACAGTTAAACTATGACCTAGATCAGCAAGAGTCTGCACAATTTAAAAGGTGACTTTTACAGCAACTCAAACCACACTTCCAGCCACATGCTGCGGCTGCAAGACCTGTCTACTTTACCCACCACTTTTCTTAGATTTGCAGAAAACCTAGATTCACTTCAAGATCCAGGGAATGACAACTACTCCAGACTCGCAAACACTTCCAGCCTGGTGAGTTACACCCGTGGCCAGGACGCACTACCAAACTGGGAAACACTTGGAGGCTCATCTCAGCCAACACTTCGCTGAAGAAGAGGAACGCCACATCTGGATGACAAAGGAAAGTTAACACGGGATGCTGATTCAGATGGTGCTTGTAGGCTCTCTCTTGGATCACCCTCTCTCAAGCGTACCAACAGTCATCTTCGAAGTCGGCCGGCGGTGCAAGCTCCCCAAGTATAAAACTAGACTTGGATGATTAGTAGAACAAGGGGGTCGGGTCTCCCTCCCTCCCATGCTTTAGGGGCCTGCTCCTGGCTCCTCACAGCATACATTCCCAAACGCAGGCAGCACCGCTCCCCTCCGAATCAGAGAGGTTCAAAGCTCTCTGCTGCTGTGCTTCAGGCTACAACCATGCAGAGCAATCACGAGGCCAGTTAAAGACCCGCGGGTGCCACACACGGTGGCCAGGATTGGGCGGCACCATGGAGCACCCACAGCCCTCAGCATTGTGCTTACCAACCCGCTGGAAAGGCGGGTGGCAGCACCAGCCATGCTTTGACTCCATGCGTACATACCCGAGCATTGCTCCTGTCTACCAAGACTTCCTAAACTTATTAGACACCAACCTGTTAAACTTGGGCTCATCTAAAAAAAACACAACAAACGCCAAGCTTCCAGGGCTCCTTGCCAATATGCTCCCCTCCGTCCCATTTTGTTCTTTGAAACGCACGGTTTTTTGGCACCCACCATCCCATTCATACCGTCTTTAGATTACACTTTTCTGACCAGAACTGCGTACACCAGCTTCCCAGTACTCTCTCCTACATCCTTTGCCAGTTGTCTGCTTGTACACCATCTGTTCCTGCAAATGCTTGCATCTTGAAAGTTTCGACTCTCTTCTAGCTTCACTGTTAACATACCAGACTCTTCTCACCTTCCCCAAGACAGCGCCAGCAGCACTTGAGAAATGCTTGCAAACACACGCACGCTATCAAGACCTTCCTCCCATAAGCACTCCAGATTTCACTTGGGCAGCTTGACCAATTTTGGATTTTACAGACTCCTATTTCTTTTTCCAAACAGTGGCAACCTATTTAATGAGCTTTAGCTTCCCAACTACACTCTACAAATACTGAGCTGAGCAGTGTATGTAGCCTAATTGACTGCTAAGGTCACCGGCCAACTCTTTAATCTTATTTAATACAGCTTGAGATAGTTTGTGAGTCAGTAGAATTTTTATTCTTACAGGCAGGAAACAACATAATATATGTTAGTGAACAGAAAACTATGATGCAATGTGTATATTTTACAGAATGTTAAGTTAGAAAAACGGCCTGAAATGTTCCCTTTTTAGTGTCACCATCTTTAATACTGTTGCTTGTTTTAATAGACAAATAAGATATTAAATTGTGAGATTCTGCTGATACATTATGAATAGGCATTTGTAAGGCTAACAGGTCCCAAAGAAATGTTTGAAGGCAATAGAAGTCACGCAGTAAATACCAACTTGTTGAAGAAGTAAAGGAAAAGCTCAAGGGAAGCCTAAACTAAACTTCCTCACTTTAAAAGAAAAGGAATTTTTCAGGCTGCTACCCATGATGGTTGATTTTATGATGTCAATCACAGCTTAGTGTGCACAGTTTGCTGGAACCGGGCAAAACTGTTTGAAAAAAGTATCAGCGTCACTAATCAGACAAGAGATCCCACTTCTGGGAGAATTTGAGAGTGCAAAGTCAGGCATTTCAGATGGCCTGGAATGACCTCTGAAAAGTAACACCAGTTAAACTGCATTTATACAGAAACATGACCAAGAAACTTTGCACCTGCCCAGACACGAACATAGCTTTGCACCGATGATGAAAACACCCAAGACAGCACAACAGGTAGCAAATCTCTGCACTGCTTTAAGTGACTGAGGTAGTGATCAGCAGACGCAAGGGTAAACGCAGCACCACACACAAGCCTAGGCAGGTTTGCGCAGGAAAAACTGACTACAGAAAAACTCCAAAACACTCCTGAGAAGACCTAGACATTTTAAGGATTTCATATCATACAAGCAGGCTTGTTGGGATTTTCAAAAAGACTCTTCAACTCATCTGTAGCATTATTAAAAGAGGTCATCAACAACCCTAACTATTTTCACGAGGTCTTTCCTATGCAGGTTCTGGAAAGCCCATCAGTAGGAAAGCGCCTTGGTGACTGAGACAACAGACTCGACGCTGGCAGTCAAGCTCCAGGGGCTGGCTGCCCTACAGATTTCGGGCATGAGACCTGCCTCGGTTCCCCGCCTGTAAAGTGGAGGCAAGCATGCTTTCCTACCTCACAGGAATGTTCTGAGAATAAATCCATACATGCCCAGGAAACGCTCAGAGACTACGGTGACACAGGCCATAAAAATACCTAGGGAAAGAAAAGAGAGAAAAGTAAATCTCCTGAATGCAAGTGAACTCACAGCACTGTAAGCATCTGATCACAGTATCTTCAGATTGCCTTTGCACCATGACGGTGACTAATGCTACCAATGGGCACTGACAACCCTCCAAACCCAGCA